TGAAAGACTCCCCAAATCTAGTTGTCACAACAAACACTATTTCAAAACAAGTCTAGGTATTGTTAAACTGATTGTGTCTATCTATCCAGTGTCAAAACACTATTGACCAAGGTGCTAAAGCAATCAATAGTTCCACATAGATCTACAGTCATCTAAACTTTGTTAATAACATGTAATAACTACATTATCAGCAGTGTGTACCATCCTATCCAAAGCCAGTGTCAAATAAAATTTCCTCTGTCTAGTAAGCCCAGCTAAACAAACCATTCAATAATCTTAAATGATGCCAAAGACATATTTAAGCATGTACACGATGTAGACTACGAGGCAACAGAGGTATCAGTTGGGTAGAAAGGGAGACCTGATGTATACTAGGACATATGTCGTCTGTTGAATCTTGTCAAACAAATTAAATCAGAGAATTTCAACTTCTAAATTTGACAGATTCAACTTTTACTCCACTTTGATTCCTCTCTGGTAACCATGGTAACATCCGAAATTCCATAAGAGGTCACGTCAGATGTCACAAGTTGGTTTCAATATCAAACTGGTGGCCTTGGTTAACGCTCTACAAGCATTTTACTTACGTTTGGTGTGGGGGTAAATAAACAACAGCTGTAAGAAATCCTCATGCCACTGGTTGAAAGATATAGCTGGGAGGATGGGGTACTACATGTATATTATGCTAAGAATTGCATGTTGACATTCGTTTTTGAGATGTACAAGTCAGATGATTCAAAAGCTTGCGTCACTTTTACCATGAATTTACCTGATCGGCTGATAAGAAAATTAACCTGACACAACCTTCTCATGGTTTATCAGCTCTTGACGGAGTCCTAGTGAAGTGAAGTAAAAGATCGGATTTCAATGAGACTGCCACTGCTTCAGCCTTGTGCTCATGAAATCTATAGAGAGGAGGTGAGTTTGATTTTACACCACTTTTAGCAATATTCTAGCAATATCGTCGCGGGGTACACCAGAAATGAGCTTCACACATTGTGCCCATGTCGAGAATCGAACCCGGGTCTTCGGCGTGACGAGCGAATGCTTTAACCGCTAGGCTACCCCACCACCCCAGATTTATAAGAGGCTTTCAAGATTCTCAAGAATGCTAGGCCTATCTCTTACATCAGCATACTTGACATTGGTTCAAAATAATTGGCACAAAATATACCCCTTCATCATTTGATGCATGTGTGTGCAAAGTACATGTAGTACGACCTTGTCAATGACTGAGGGCTGCTCAAACGTGCAGAGGACAGTCCCAGACCCCATTTCTTATACCTCATGTCATGCCTCATCCCCAATTACAGCATTTGTCTAAACACACCAATTTGTCTAATGATCTCAAGCATGCAAAACACCTCAAGGAATGGTGTATACATAACATGTATGTCGTACCCTCGTCCATCTTCCAGAGGCAAGGGTGTTAACTGACTATAAAAGTCCAGTTTCCACCCTTGCTGAACTAGGCTGCAATAATGGAGTTACATTTTGGCTGGACTAACGCGTCTATGCATAGTACAATCAAAATTGTGTAGCGAACTAGACATCTGGTTTGTAAACTACATGGATTTCAACGTGCAGATTTCGGTCGACTCCAGGATTTGCAAAGCATGTGTACCGCCAACTGGGCGTCGGAAAATATTTTGCAAATTCTTTCATGCTTTTAATCAAGGTGCTCACTTGATTTCATGCACTTCGCTGGGTAAGACCTGTTTTATTACAATACAGATCTTGATCATCAAGCAGATTGTCTTGACTGGACGCCGCCATTTGGTTTGAAGCAAATGTAAGTGATATGAGAGATGGAATCTGATTGGTCAATAGGAGGAACATAGAAGGGACATAACTCGTAATAGCCACTCGTGGCGCTACAATCCGAGCCCAGGAATTCCAGCCTAGTTTGGCAAGGGTGGAAACTGGACTTTTATAGTCAGTTAACTCCCTTGCCTCGGGAAGATGACCCTAGTCCTGCAGACAAATTGGATAACAAAAATAAATATGTCCACAGAAGAGTGAAGCAATTAATAACATTGATAAATAAAATCAATTCTCAAATAATCTTTTGGAATGATCTTGGAAGCATTATCAGCAAACACATGCGTTAATGAATGAAACATTCAGAGACAAAGACATCACACAAAGTATTGCCTTCGTACAATCAAAACAAAGCAAGCTCCTTCTAACGCTCTACATAACATGTGTCAGCCATAACAAAGTGATTATCTGTTTGTTGGCTGAGGTAATATATTTCTCATAATCAAGAAACAAGGTTACAATACACAGCCAATGAATGCCTGTCCAAATATATAGCGGAGCTATGACCACCATCCACTGAAGATTACACAAAGAATGTGACCCTGACTGATCCACCTGTTACTGACATCTAAATACATATATCATCAGCAAAGTACAACTTAATCATCTAGTGAGTGAGTGAGTGTGATTTTACGTCACTTTTAGCAATATTCATGCATTCATTCACCAGAAATGGGTTTCCTGTACCCATGTGGGGAATCGAACCAGGGCCTCCGTGTGACGAGTGAGCGCATTAACCACTGGGCTACCTCACCGCCCCTTTAATCATCTAGGTTTCTAAATAACTTGTATATTAATTTTACACTGAAAATAATTTTAATACTTCTCCTTAACCGGATACCTTCCAACTTCAAAATAATCACTTTGTTTTAGACTTTTGAATAATAAATAATGCTGTATACTACTCAAAGAAGTAAATAACAACCAATCGTTTTCATATGACATGACAAAGTTGGGTGTTAGGAACTTCTTTTGGGGATTACACATGTACAAGAATGTACACAACGCCATGCAAAACTAGAACTAGCAAACAATGTACTCATTGCATATGTCTATTCAACCAGTATACATGGTGTAAGTGAAAATATATTGTTTAAAAACATCATCAGTATGTACAATTGCCCTGAGCTCATACACATATGAATGCAGGGGGCCTTATTTACATAGCATTGCCCATCTGAGAGTAAACAGCAGGCTGCCACACCAAAAGCTATGTGTCAGGTCCATCCTCTATATCTCCAGGGCTCGCATTTCGGTAAACCTACACTAACCCCTAGATCCATTCCCGTGGTTCTTGCAATGTCAAATTACCTACCCAAGATTTAACAGTCTAACCGACCAATCAGAAAGCGAGTTACAAACTAGCCTCAACGTTGGATTGGCGATATCGACAATATGGCAGCCAGTCCCACTGAATACGACACTGAAAATCTTCTGACACACAAAAGAAAGCCCTAAAACATCTTTTTGATGTGAAGGATGTCTTCAGGTCCATTAGAAATTGCCGAGGCTTTGGTTTCTAGGCAATACGAGTTACCTCCCTTACCCATTTCCATTTCCTTCTGTTGGTGGGTAAAATATAAATGAAAATCAAGGGGGGTAATTTGAGATGGTGAGAACCACAGGAATGGATCTAGGAGTTAGCATGGGTTTACTGAAATGCCAGGCCTGGAGAAATAGAGGATGAATTAATTATTGGATTTTCATTCCCACATCATCGTTACCACCCACCTCACTTCAAGCTATGGTTCCAAAGTACTGCACACAAAGTTACTGTGTTCATTATTTGATGAAATTCAACATAAACCTACAAAACATTCATTCTTCATCCAAGTCAAATCTGTGAACAAGCAATGATTTGTTTTGTTTGTTTAATGCCACACTGAGCAATATTCCAGCTATATGATAGCTGTCTGTAAATAATCGAGTCTGGACTAGAATATCCAGTGACTGACATCATGAGCATTGATCCACGTAATTGGGATACAATGACATGCATCAACCAAGTCAGTAGGCCTGACCACCCGATCTCGATCACTTCTTACGACAAGCATAGTCAGCATCTACAGCAACAACAGGTAATGTACCATCATGCTATTAACAGTTGCATCATTAAACATTTAGTTGCGTCCCACCTCGTATTTTTGAAAAATTGGGAAGAAAATCTAATAATCAATATATCGTGACCTGATCACTAACAGCCTATAACCAGCATGGAGAAAATGTTGTTTTGTGCCACAGGCAGGAGTATTCCATCCATACCAAAAAGGCCTGAACACAATCAAGGGACAGAGAAACCAGTGGTCGAGAGCATGAGCTACATTATCATACCTCCATGTCAGAAAGACGAGATCTGATAGGACCACGTGATCTTGATAAAATACTGTGTATCCCGCCCTGGAGGGGAATAAATTTCTCAGCAGGGGAATAAATCTCTTATACCCCACCACTAACAAGTCAGGCTGCATGTGGATTTCTGAGAGGCAGAATAGATCCTTTATACCCCACTTCGAAGCAAAAAAGCCGCACGCTTTTTCCGAGTCAATGGAAGTCCTGTGACATAGCGAAAGCTAACTTCAGCTAAATTGAACAGCTGTTTTCTTTCAATTTTGAATTTGTTGGAAATATGTTACAATTTCATATTAAAACATGTTGTTAAGATAAATTTGTTTTTGCAGAATCACTCGGGGTACAAAGGGTTTTATGCATCCCACGTTATGTTTATATGACCCGCCCCGGCTCGTGGACGCATGAAACCCCATGTACTGAGTGACCCAGCTACAGCTTACAATCGACACCAATCTCATTAAAATCAGACCTTAGTTCTCGCTACCGCTAAACAAAGATCTGAGGACATCCCATTAGGGGTCACGTCAGAACGACCTTTCATCCGACCAATCAGAGCGTCGCTTACCAGATTATGAAAGTGACAGTCAGAATGTGATTTCTAATCATGCAACCTCGAAAACTTTTTTTCAGAACGATAGTTACGGGTTTAAAGACTTAATCCATACAATCTAGACCATCTTTTAGCCATTCCAGAATGTTCTTTTGTTCAGGTTTCAAATTTGTAATTGAGAATTTGTCAAAATATGTTTCGAAGCGTAGTCGCCAATTTTAAATTAGTGCCGTAAAGCACGAGAAAGCTGCCTTCTGATTGGTCATTCCATTGTTGGGTCAAAGTTCGCGCAAAGTCGGTATGACGTGACCTGTAATGGGATGTCCTCAAATCTTTGTTCAGCGGTAGCGAGAACTAAGATCTGATTTTAATGAGATTGAATCCACACCGTCTGAAAATGATGCTACCTAATTAGCATTTTCAGAGGTTGTCTCAAATATGAGATATCATATATTCATTCATAAATATGGTACATATAACAGCTACTTTTAAGCTTTGTGCATAAAAATGACAAAGCACGACATGTCACTAGTTGAAATATACTCACCGACAAAAGAAAAGCGAATACCATACATGGTTAATATATGAAGAATTACTTATATTCAAGAGATATTAGATTGGTTCAAAGCACAAATAAACATACTGTTATGTTGTGTGAACCGATGCTCATGAACGCATCACATGTGATGTCATAGATCCATGACTCGAGATGCACCATTTTGTCATGTGCAGGATTAGTGTTTTAAGTTTGGAAATCACGTACAGCATATCATTATAAGAACAAAAACAGTCTGTGGTAACACTTGACTGTTAGTTTTGTGATTAAGTACTACACATTCGAAACATCTCTTCTTCACGTACATACTTCTCAAAATGTTCCTATGGTTCGCGTTTCTTTTAGCGGTGAGTATATGCTATGCTAAGTGTTCTTGGTCTTTATTCTAGGGGACTATGCATAGATCAAGCACCGGGCCATATACACAGGTTTTACAAACATAAGAAATAACCTTACACACAAAAAATGTGAGCATTCTATTTGTGTTTTAAACTGTCTGATGATATTGACTTTCCCTTGACTTTCAGAGATGCCAACACCAAGTTGATCAATGTTCTCATTTACTGGTATTTACCTGTTATTTACGGGTAAATTTAGGCTTGGACCGGCAAATAATGTTCGGTACCTAAAAGTATTTTTTTAAAGAAGTCAAATGTCTGCTACCATCAGGGTTTTGCCGTGTCTATTTTTAGTGCAAGAAAATAACATTTTGCTTTGCTTTGAGGTCAAATATACATTTGTAGCAGCCTCAACTCGAAATTTAGGAAAAGAGAGCACATTGTGACTGAACTTTTAGTAGATCTGAATAAGTTACTTCAGAGATGAAGTCTTTGCACTGAACATGATGTTGAAAGAACTAAAACCAGGTAATTTACATGTGTGTTTTCGTTTGTTGAAAGTTGGGACTGACAAAAAATAGGGCTGACTGGTTATTTTCAGAGTTTGGCAGTTTTAAAAGTCAGCGTGACACTGGTTGATGCACTTTAGTAACTTCTTAGTCAACTGTCATCTCAATTAAGTCATTTTCAATTAGTAATTATTATTAGCATGACTATGGTTTTGATAATAAAAATATTCTTTATAATGTGACAATGCTGATATGTAGCAGCAAGGTCAATATCTTGCTAAAATAAACAGTGAATTTTTCCCCCGTAAAATTCATAATATATATTACATTATTTTGTTCAAAGTATTGCAATACTTCTGCCTTAATCATAATTGTTGGCATCCTTGGAGTTTGGGGAACATATTCAAATGTAACAGGAAACACGTGTGATATTGAATACCAAGACTATTTTAATTCCTTATTATATGCATGCGAAAGTAGCAAATAGTAACCAGTTTTAACTTTTATTTTTAACTTTTTGTATGTGTCAAAATATATTCAGATGTTTTTTTTAAATTAACACCAAATCAACACTGGGCATACTGACCAAGAAAATCCTTAAAATAACAACTTAAATTAGTCAGGACTAATGAATTCAAATTATTATCCCTTAAAATGTGGACAGGTAAAAAACAGAAAGAAATAAAATCTTGCTAACACTGTATATTTTTCCTGATTAAAAAAGAGAGTTCATTTTCAGTCTTCAAAGGTGAACCTTAAAATAACAATGCTTGAAATACTTATAAGATATACTTCACCCTATTATTACATACTTTGCATCAAAGTAACAAAACGTAAGATACTGAGTTTCTCGTGCAGCAGCATTCATTACACATTCAACAAAAAACTCAGTTGAGATACGCCCAACATTCATCATGTTCATCAACGGGCATTTTCTTAATGGCAAGGTTGGTCAAAAACTGATTTTCACACTTATACAAAATTACACATTTCAGAACTGGAAATTCATGTTTATAAATACTGTCTCAAAAATATACAATGACATGCCACAAACTTTGGTGATTGCAATTGTAGAAAACGATGGTCAGTTGAGGGCTATGACTCTCCCTATGTGGTGAACCTCCTAGTTCTCCTTCTTCCCATATGTTGAACCCCTGTTAATCTCAGTAACGCCAATCATCATACGGACGCCCACTGATGCTGTAAAAAAAAAAATTATGGTAAGTTGAAGACACCCAGTTTCACAACACATCTCATTTATACAATGCTGCAGATGACAATGCCAACTACAGCCCCACCTACCTACTGCAATGACGACTATAACTCCACTTACCTACTGCAATGACAACTATAGCCCCACCTACCTACTGCAATGACGACTATAACTCCACTTACCTACTGCAATGACAACTACAGCCCCACCTACCTACTGCAATGACGACTATAACTCCACTTACCTACTGCAATGACAACTATAGCCCCACCTACCTACTGCAATGACAACTACAGGACCACCTACCTACTGCAATGACGACTATAACTCCACTTACCTACTGCAATGACAACTATAGCCCCACCTACCTACTGCAATAACAACTACAGGACCACCTACCTACTGCAATGACAACTACAGGACCACCTACCTACTGCAATGACGACTATAACTCCACTTACCTACTGCAATGGCAACTACAGCCCCACCTACCTACTGCAATGACAACTACAGCCCCAACCACCTACTGCAATGACAACTACAGCCCCACCTACCTACTGCAATGACAACTACAGCCCCACCTACCTACTGCAATGACAACTACAGCCCCAACCACCTACTGCAATGACAACTACAGCCCCACCTACCTACTGCAATGACAACTACAGCCCCACCTACCTACTGCAATGACAACCATAACTCCACCTTCCTACTGCAATGACAACTACAGCCTCACCTACCTAATGCAGTGACAACTACAGCTCCACCTACTGCAATGACAACTATAACTCCACCTCCCCACTGCAATGAGTGAGCGAGTGAGCGAGTTTTAGCAATATTCCAGCAATATCACAGCGGGACACCAGAAATGGGCTTCACACATTTTACCCATGTCGGGAATCGAACCCTGTTCTTCGGTGTGATGAGCAAATGCTTTAACCACTAGGCTACCTGACAGCCCCCTAACTACAATGACAACATCAACTCCACCTACTGCAATGACAACTACAGCTCAAACTACTGCAATGACAAATACAGCTCCACCTAACTACTGCAACGACTACAGCTCCACCTACTGCAATGATGACTACAACTCCACCTACCTATTGCAACAACTTCAGATCCACCCACCTATTGTGATGAAGACTACAGCTCCGCTTACTGTAATGACACCTACGGCTCCACCTACTGCAATGACCACTACAACTCCACCTACTGCAATGACAACTGCAGCTCCACCTACTGCAATGACGACTACAACTCCACCTACCTATTGCGACGACTACAGCTCCACCAACTGTAACTAGAAAGTGTTTTTACTCGTAAAAACATATGTCTCCCCCCACTCCCCTAACCCCCATTCATTCGTTTACTTCATGTTAAACCCCATCTCTTCATTCCCACCCTCCATTACTAAATAACAGAGACAAAAATAGAACTCCTAGAAATTTCAAACAACTAATGGGCACCACTTCAGCATCTAATCAACACCACTAATCCCTCAATCATTTACCCACCTGACAGTGTAGTCATCTAAGTAGCACAGTTTTCTTGTTACTGAAGTATTTGTAGAAAATCCACTTAAAGTACTAATAGAGTTTGGACACAAATATATTAATATCCCCAACATATCAGAAATGATGTAGCAATGTTATATGGCACAAAGGAAAGTCTCTGTGATGTAATTGCCCGTGTATCTGACTCTGCAGGTCTTCTACACAATGACATATGTGATGTCATGGAAACTGTAATAGCAAGGCACCCCACCAGCTCTCTGATGTGAAAGATCCTTGACATAAATATGGTCAATAACAGTTTCTTTCCTGGTAGTGGACACTTCAATCAGCTGCGTGAAGGGTTCTTGCAGAAGAGGTTGCGCTTTGTTTGTATTGAGGTCAATGTTGAAATATTAAACGGTTTCTGAGTTATGGTCCAGAAACAAAGCTTACTCCCATTCAGAGCCTATGTTCAACTTATCTCCATGGAAACGAGAAAAAATAAAAATGTCAAAAATCTCTAAATAGCAAAAGGTACCACTTCAGTGCTGGGTTAATGTGTATACAAAGTTTCGCGAAAAAATATTAAACGGTTTCTGAGTTATGGTCCGGAAACAAAGCTTACTCCCATTCAGAGTCTATGTTCAAGTTATCTCCATGGAAACGAGAAAAAATAAAAATGTCAAAAATCTCTAAATAGCAAAAGGTACCACTTCAGTGCTGGGTTAATGTGTATACAAAGTTTCGCGACAAAATATTAAACGGTTTCCGAGTTATGGTCCAGAAACCAAGCTTACCCCCATTCAGAGTCTATGTTCAAGTTATCTCCATGGAAACGAGAATAAATAAAAATGTCAAAAATCTCTAAATAGCAAAAGGCACCACTTCAGTGCTGGGTTAATGTGTATACAAAGTTTCGCGACAAAATATTAAACGGTTTCTGAGTTATGGTCCGGAAACGGTGGGAACGCCGACGCCGACGCCGACGCCGACGCCAAAGGGAACCGTGCCAAAAACAATATGTCTCCCTCCATTCTGGGGGAGACATAATGACAGCTACAGCTCCACCTACTACAATGACAACTGCAGCTCCACCTACTGCGATGACGACTACAACTCCACCTACCTATTGCAACAACTACAGCTCCACCTACTGCAATTACAACTACAGCTCCACCTACTACAATGACAACTACAGCTCCACCTACTGCAATGACGACTACACCTCCACCTACCTATTGCGACAACAACTACAGATCCACCCACCTATTGTGACAAAGACTACAGCTCCACCTACCTATTTTCGACAACGACTACAACTCCACCTACCTATTGTGACAACGACTACAACTCCACCTACCTATTGTGACAACGACTACAGATCCACCCACCTATTGTGACGAAGACTACAGCTCTACTTACTACAATGACAACTACAGCTCCACCTACTACAATGACAACTACGGCTCCACCTACCTATTGCGACAACGACTACAGCTCCACCCACCTATTGTGACGAAGACTATAACTCCACTTACTGCAATGACGACTACAACTCCACCTACCTATTGCGACAACGACTACAGCTCCAACCACCTATTGTGACGAAGACTATAACTCCACTTACTGCAATGACGACTACAACTCCACCTACCTATTGTGACAACGACTACAGATCCACCCACCTATTGTGACGAAGACTACAACTCCACTTACTGCAATGACGACTACAACTCCACCTACCTATTGCGACAATGACTACAGATCCAACCACCTATTGTGACGAAGACTACAACTCCACCTAACTATTGTGACAACGACTACAGATCCAACCACCTATTGTGACGAAGACTACAACTCCACCTAACTATTGTGACAACGACTACAGATCCACCCACCTATTGTGACGAAGACTACAACTCTTCTTACAGCAATGACGACTACAGCTCCACCTACCTATTGCGACGACAACTACACAGATGAGCTGCTGTGTGAGGGACCCAGACAGGAAGATCCCTCCCAGGTAGTAGAACAGAGGGACACAGGTGATCACCGCCCACATCAGAAAGAATATCAGATCCCGGTAGCGTCGTGGTTCATGATAGCCTTTACCCTTTAATGTATTTGTCTGAACAAAATGGTCGTAAATCTCATCCTGAAATCAATGAAAACATTTATTATTCAAAAATCCAAATTTGAACACCAGAGGGTGCTCTTACAATACATAGATAACATCTGGGTGGGGAACAATCAACAGGATTAGGGGAGGTTATTAGAAATCCTGAAATCAATGAAAACATTTATTATTCAAAAATCCAAATTTGAACACCAGAAGGTGCTCTTACAATACAGAGATAGCGTCTGGGTGGGGAACAATCAACAGCATTAGGGGAGGTTATTAGAGCAACTACTGTAGGTACATATTTTCTGAAGAATATATAATAATAATCTTAAGTGATAACATGCTTATTTCCTGTGTCAAAAACCTCTGTTCACAAAACAATCAACAGACAGGTGACATATTCTCACATTACTACATTCTACCCTTTGGCCAAATGGACAGTGCACCGACTCTTTCAACTCCTTCAACGACTCTTTCGGCAGAATTCTGTTCCACATCACAGGTAAATATCATCTGTCAATTATGTCACTGTTATTTACCTCCATCTTTTGATTTGCTAAATATGAACATCATGTCATTCTCCCACAAAAGGATGTTATACTATTACCTTTTCATGAAAAAGATTTCTCAACCACTCTGCGCAATGAGCATCTGTATCCACTGGGACACTCTCTAGATTAATCCTCCTGAAACCAGATTACAGTAAGTGCATTTCTTTTCAGGTTATTTCTGAAATATTCCGTGGTCAAAGTTAACTGTGCAAATAACTTTGATTTTTGTGATACTATGAGCAAATTTATTCCTGTCCATGGAAATAAAATCAGTAGATTTCTGTTTTAACGGGTTGACAGGGGATCAAAACAGTGGAAACAGAAATGTCCTGTCAACCAACTGTACCAGTTATCGCCATCATCGAAACAGCACGTGCCACGTGATCAAGCACACCGCTTCAGTTATACAAATAACATGTACTATTTTCTCTGGTATCACACTTTATTTTTATATTCTTTACAATTACTAAGAAATGCTTTTATCAATTCGTCGTCTGCAAACTGACGTACACCAATATTCCCTAAATTCGACTGACACATAGAGAATGAGTTGATAAAAGTGGAAAAATATATCAACACTCGTTGATGAAAGTGGCAAAAATCCTCGGCAAGCCTCAGAATTTTTCCACATTTATCAACTCGTGTTGATATATTTGATATCAAAAGACATGAGGGTGAGATTTTATTTATCATCCAACATCATTCTCCCAACTTTTTCAATTTGTAGACAGTAATTAGCAGTGTCTTCAGTGTAAAAAGTACTGCTAACAGCTTCAGTAGCAGAGCGATTAGTGATGTCCTTTGATTGTGACGTCATGGTAACCAGTAATGTCACAATGGTCTGCAGTGTAGATACCGCTTGATCTCATCCAAGCGATATCTCCTGTTGGTGGCCAGTTTTGGATGATAAATGCTTATCCTCAATAATATGTGCTATGGATTTCGTGATAGATACAGGGTTATGCATATTTGAAAAAATAGCTCAAATAGGTTTAAGAATTTTTATTTGGGGAAGAAATGACATAAGCTATAACAAAAATGAATGTGCATCATTGTGTTGTTGAATTATTATTTACGCGTGAATTAGTCATGTGACGCAACCTGTGTGTCTCTTCTAAAGTTGTATTAGAGCAAGGTGATTGAATGGTTGGTTTTTTAATATTTATTCTTTTCATTTTTGGATAAATATTTCTCTCTTCTAATGAAACCGAACCAAAGTAAAACGAGATGCGATCACGCGCGCGCTATAATGGGGGAGTTGGTGACAATTGGTCCTCGGCAATAAGTGCTTGCTAGCCAGTACAGTAGCGTCAGGACTCATAGAAAGTCTTACAGTATAGTAATTAACGCGACAAACTCACACAAATCCAAACTTATTTCACCAAAATCAGGCCTTCAACTTAACCTACTTTGGTGAGTGAGTGAGTGAGTGAGTTGGGTTTAATGCCGCTTTTAACAGTATTCCAGTTATATCACGGTGTGTCAGCTTAATGTGGGAGGAAAGCCTGAAGTGATGCAGGTCTCAGACGTTTACCACTTCGGTGAAACCCACGAGCACGGGTACGGTGCTGACAAACCTAGAAACATAATCCGGGTGAACCGGGATTCGAACCCACAATCATAGGTTTCTGGCGTGCCCAAGGGACGCAACTCTGCACAGCGAATCACAGCGCCTTAGATTACTGGGCCACCCGTGCCCCCTAACCTACTTTTGACTTGGGTTAGGATATTTAGGACACTGAAAGAAGTTGACAACTAAAGCACTAGTGCACGAGACACAGTGTGTTTGGTTTAACACAGCTTTAACAATATCTCAGTCATATGATGGCATTTCAGCTTGACTTTGGAGGAAAGCCCAAAGTGATGCAGGTTTTTCAAAACAAACTGTAACACGGCAAATAAAATAATTAGCATCTCTCCCCAAAATGCATGTGCAGTACAAGTTTACATACAAGGACAGTACGGATATCCAAGCAGAAATTTATACATTCTCATGCTCTAAAATTTCTATGCAGCATATTTGTGTTGTATTTATTTTCATTTAATTATTGATGTATTCTAACTTTCAGGCTGTTTTTGAAATCTACTTATGCAGTATTTCCTTACTTTGATGCTGTCCTTAAAGTCAGATAATACACGCATAACTGGACATTCGTTACACAGAATATAAGAATGTATTAATATTTGTAATGAAGGTCCAGTTTCCTTGACGGAGCACTTAAAGAATAAATTCTTTAAACTTAACGCTGCACTGAGCAATATTCCTGCTATATGACAGCGGTCTGTAAATAATCGAGTCTGGACCAGACAATCTAGTGATTGATATCATGAGCATCGATCCATGCAATTGGGATCGATAACATGCATCAATCAAGTCAGTGAGACTGACCACCTGATCCCGTTAGTCGCTTCTTACGACAAGCTTAGTCGCCTTTTACGGCAAGAATGGGTTGCTGAAGACCTATTCGGAACCGGATCTTCATGGGTCTCATAAAGTTACTGATAACACCTGTCTTGTATACATGGGTAATAAATGCAGTAAAGGCATACTCATTCAGATAATCTGTAATTGTGTTGGTTCTCCAATTACCATCCTTTTGTATAAATATAAATCAGTAGATATCACAAATATTTAGAGATTCATAAACCCAATGTACAATGAGGGCCCCTCATACCTGACTCTCAGTCGAGACAACAGCGGTTTTCCTTGAATAATATTCATCAATGTCGGCTCTGGTCCCGTCTGGTCAAATCCGATTGTTAAATCCAGAACTGTAGGTACTGAAAGGACGACAGATGCCATCAAACATAACACTGCATAAAAAGTCCAAAGTATAAATGGATATAAAATGTGCTAAAAATTAATAGTCTATTATTGTGAAAAAAAGGGTTCAAGATCAAATTTCCAAACCTTAATAAATTTTAAATATTCATTTAGGCTTATTAAAAACAATCTTGTTACTCCTGACCTGCCTGCCCCTAATATTGCTCATATATTCAATCACTGATGAGAAACAATGTATGCAACTCTTAATTTCTGCCCAGATTTCAACTTTTCGCACATGCCATGTCATTCATAGTGATTTGTTTGTTTGTTGTTTAAGGCTGCACTCAGCAATATTCCAGCTATATGACGGCAATCTGTAAATAATTGAGTCTGGACCAGACAATCCAGTGATTGACATCATGAGCATCGAACCACGCAATTGGGATACAATGACATGTATTAACCAAGTCAGCGAACCTGACCACCCAATCCCTTTAGTCGTCCCTTACGACAAGCATGGATTGCTCATTCATAGTCATGATAGTGTGGGAACCTTACAGGGCTGGGACAAGTCCAAATTTACTACCCGGGTACCCACTGTAGGTCTCAAGAGTTGGGAACCAAAAGTCTGTAAGGAATTGTTTTACCGCAGCCCTGGCAAAGTCTATTCAGATATATGTATCAAATGATCAGATCATGTGTACACTGAAGTTGACTGAAGCTTTATCTTTACTCAAACATATACAAGTCAAAAGGAACGTGTGCATCGTCAGAAAGAAATTCGATCATTAGCGACTTGTAGTATAACCACTGAGCTGTAGTGTGTGTTTCTCATTAAACAATATATCACGTGACTAACCACGGGTCCGGATAGTACTGTGGGTACCAGGTTCTACTAAGGCCTCTCCCGACCCGACACGAGTTACCCGCCCCAGCCCTGGAACCTAATCATGGACTTCATGGCCTTGGGCCTGTCTGTTCACACTTCAAGTTGCAGGGTGCGATGCAAAGACAGATAATGTGGTACATCCGAAAAACGTTAACTTTCAACGATTTGTAAATTAAACATTGCTGTACGGTAACGAGATATTACTGTATGGTAACGAGATATTACTGTACGGTAAAGAGATATTACTGTATGGTAAGGAGATATTACTGTATGGTTAAGAGATATCACTGTATGGTAAAGAGATATTGCTGTATGGTAACGAGATATTACTGTATGGTAACGAGATATTACTGTATGGTAAAGAGATATTACTGTACGGTAAAGAGATATTACTGTATGGTAAGGAGATATTACTGTATGGTTAAGAGATATCACTGTATGGTAAAGAGATATTGCTGTACGGTAATGAGATATCACTGTATGGTGATGAGATATTACTGTATGGTAAGGGGATATTACTGCATGGTAAAGAGATATTGCTGTATGGTTACGAGATATTACTGTATGATAACGGGCTATTACTGTATGGTGACTAGATATCACTGTATGGTAACGAGATATCACTATATGGTGATGAGATATTACTGCATGGTAATGAGATATTACTGTATGGTAAAGAGATATTGCTGTACGGTAATGAGATATCACTGTATGGTAACAAGCTATTACTGTATGGTGACTAGATATTACTGGTTATGAGAGATTACTGTACGATAACGAGATATTACTGTATGGTGACTAGATATTACTGGTTATGAGAGATTACTGTACGATAACGAGATATTACTGTATGGTCAGGAGATATTACTGCATGGTGAGGTGAAATGGGGTTTAACGTCACGTCCAAGATTATTGCACTTATATAGCGACGTGCATGCACGTGTGTGTGTCTGCTTGTACTAGTCGGACTGATGCCGATTTATAGTGTTAGCTCACTGAGATACCAGGCTGCAGTTTTAACATGAATATCCCACTCAAACACAGTATACTGACTCCGAGCCGACCAGTCCTTGTTTTAGCGCCTTAAAGCCGAGCGCTAGACAGGGTAACAACAAGTACCATCTTTTAACGTCTTTTGGTATGACGCAGCCGGGGATCGAACCCCGGACCTTCCGCTCTCCGGGCGGACGCTCTACCACTAGACCACGGGGGCGGTCTTATTACTGCAAGGTAATGAGATATTACTGCATGGTAATGAGATATTACTGTATGGTAATGAGGTATTGCTGTACGATAACGAGATATTACTGTTCGGTAACAAGATATTGTTAGTTAGAATCTGTCTACACACAAAAGCTGATGTACTGTCATCTTTAAAATTTTGGGTATCAATGAAATATGTCTGACAGATATGGTTTGAACACTTAGTAGGAGAACATTAACTCTTGACACTTCTGATTGCTGAAGCAGCTCTCTGTAACCTACTTTTGCCCCTCAAGCCATTGATGGAGAGGATGAAGCCCTTGGGCCGGGGCAGCAGGTGATGCTTCATGTCCTTGTAGCCCTTGGCCCGGGACACTTCCAGACTGGCTTGATGCTTAGTCTCCGTGAACCGTGTCCCTTCCGGAAACAGCAGCAGCTGATAAAGGACAACATATCAGTGATGGGGATTAAGCATGAAAGTCAAGTGTCTTTTGAACATAATGAATAAACCTTATGTTAAAGAATGAGTGAGTGAGTGAGTTGGGTTTAACGCCGCTTTATACAGTATTCCAGTTATATCGCGGCGTGTCAGCTTAATGTGGGAGGAAAGCCCGAAGTGATGCAGGTCTCAGACGTTTACCACTTTGGTGAAACCCACGAGCATGGGTATGGTGCTGACAAACCTAGAAACATAATCGGGGCGAACTGGGATTCGAACCCACAACCATAGGTTTCTGGTGTGCCCAAGGGACGCAACTCTGCACAGCGAATCGCGGCGCCTTAGACGACTGGGCCACCCGTGCCCCCGTTAAAGAATGAAGATTCAGGGACCTCTTGATTTGTGCATGCAAGTGCTTACTGTAACCAGTATTGTCTTGAAAGTCACTTACACATGTATGTTCTTTCACCAGCAATCAGTTAAAGGGACAGTACCTTGATGGTTTTGTGTGTTTTTAAATCATGCATGAAAACATTTCAGAGTGTGAAGTCACATGCCCCATTCCATTCCCACACCAAAAAATATGAGCTCCGCAGAGCAAATACGACAACGCAAGCGCTGGAGAGAGTAAACTGGTTTCAGTCATGTTTTAAATGAGAGTCAAATTAAAGAGAAAGCTCATGTGTTCTTCTTAAAGATGAGTTACAAAATACTCCTTGCCAGTTTGATTAGATTAGAAGCAAGTGATTATCAAAACCTAGATTACATCATAAATATGCTTCGGTCGTTATAAGCCAATCTCTCCCCTACCCATAGATCCTTGCGGACAGCCTTGTACCTGTGTCATACCTGTACCTGTTTTACATCTGTTTCACTTTGGACAAGTTTACCCATTTAAATAAACATAACATTCATTGAGAAAATATCCTAAAACATGAAAAACTATTTCCATTTGCTTATTTATCTTCAACATTCTGTCTTCGGAGCCCTAGAGAGAGCAAGCGATACGTCCGCTTTGATGTGTAAAGCTATATTGTCATGCACCTCACTGTCGCAGTTGTAGTAGCATTCAATATGATTATGCAAAACAATGTGTAAAGTGCATGAAAGTCTTGCATTAGGCCCATCTGTTCCTATTTCAGAATAAGTGCGTTTGTTTACAAACAAGAGAGAAGTCTGGTCATGTGATAAGCCTTGACCCAAAGTGTGGTCACTGAAGCAGAACATTTTGTCACGGAATAAGGCGAGCACAGCCGAGTGAGCTCAGGGGTTATCGGCTATTGTTGACAAACAATGATTCAGAATGGTCGACATACTGTCCCCATGAACATGTGTACTTACTGTAACCCAGTAGTCATCTGGGTAGTCGGTAATACGCGCTAGGTCTTCCACTAATGTCTTCCTGTCCGACTCCCACTTCCTCTTGAGGAAGATGCTCTCTGTGAAGTACCACGCCCAGCCAATCAGCGGCACATACTTCAGCATCTCCTTGCCGTAGATCTTGGTGCCCTGCGCAGACAAGCCTCACAGTTCATTTCAGCAACACATGTAACCTCACAACGGTTTGTTTGTTTGTTAATGCTGCACTCAGCAATATTCCAGCTATATGACAGCAGTCTGTAAATAATCGAGTCTGGACCAGACAATCCAGTGATTGACATCATGAGCATCAATCCACGCAATAGGGATATGATGACATGCATCAACCAAGTCAGCGAGCCTGACCACCCGATCCTGTTAGTCGTCTCTTAGTTGGGTTGCTGAAATGGCCAACAAATGTAGGTCTCATAAGGGGAGATTGTCTCCCAGTGATGGATTGTCAGTAATGTCTGTTACCAAAAGCAAACCTCCCATTGGTATTACTAGGCAAATGACAGCCCTATCAGCCCATCTGGCAAAACAGTGCCAAACTCTGTTTGCTGTTTAATGCTGCACTCAGCAATGTTCCAGCGATATGACAGCTGTCTGTAAAGAATCAAACATGACTAGGCAATCTAGCTATTGATACTATGAGCAATGATCCACACCAATCCATGGGGGTACGCTGACACGCCATCAACCAAGTCACGGAGTCTGACCACTCGATCCATTACCTCACCTCTCACAACCAGCAGAAGTTGCTTAGGACCTATTTGAACCCGGAATCCCCACAGGGTCAGTCACAGAACAGAATGAGGGAGTTTCAGAAATCAGCCCTCAAAGTTTAAGTTTTTACCAAGTAGCTACAAGTACTTTTTTCCAGGTAGCCACTGGTTAAATCAACAAGACAAGCCAAAATTCTTACTAGCCAAAAAATTTAAATTTAAATTTAAAAACAATACCTTTTAATAACAAAAAAATTATTTTCTTTTAAAATGATCATGATACTAATATGTCATCAATCCTCACATTTCATTCATACAATATTCAGAAATGGAAGACTGGAGTGGATACTTTTCGAGTTTCAAGTATCTTTATTGCAACAATGCTTGAGCTGCCAGAAACTCATTACTGTATTAACATCATGGTACAAAGTAAATCAATACGGTCTGCGCATGTCGGAAGTTCGTAAACTCGTATGCACCATGCACAGTATAATTATTTAGCGGGACTGAAGACTGATGAACCGCTGCATGGAGCTATCGAATTGTTCATGGAGACAGGCAATAAGTGCGGTTATACAAGTGGCATTGCAATAGAAACTGGCGATGGAGAAAACAGTGGAGCAAATGTTAGTCACGTTATTTATTATTGTATCTACAAATATGAAGCAAATTTAGTCGTCACGACATATTTTCAAGGTAGTCATCTGGCAACCTCTAAATATTACAAAGTAGACAAACTGAAATTTAGGTCACATTGGCAACCGTTTTAGTCGCTTTGATGCCTGAAAATTATGATCACCTCAAAACTATTCCTCCATTCGTCTTATTATTGGGCTATGGAGGGTACTGTTGTCCTTTATATTAATGATTAAAGCGTCAGAAGCAGTCATCCAGTTAAGGAATTCCAGTAAAGTTGGAAACTTCTAAACTAACTTACAATGGGTATTACTGGGTGGGGCAACTCTAATAGTGTTGATAACTTAGTAACTTCCGGAGTAATGCTACCTAGTCAGTGTACACTAAGACTCACCCCCAACATGCCGAAGCGCTCTGCTAATATCCAGGCCATGAGCCAGTCAATGTCGTATTTGTGGTTCATGATAACGAGGACGTGTTCCTTGCCGATCATCTTGCGATCTTCATCGCTGACGTGTAGCAGACAGTCCGAACCTGACCACCACTGTGCCAGAAATGTGAAATCTGGAACAGTTAGTAACACTTAACTGTAATAATATTCCTTGGTTTCCCATACTCATTATTCCCTTATTGCACTTGGAGTATGGCGTGTCATTAGTGTGCAAGGTGTTTGGCAAAGTCAAAACAGGGTGTGACTGAGCACTAGAAGTGACATGTCTCACTCTTGAGGTCATCTTCCTGAGCCAAGGGAGTTAACTGAGTGTAAAAGTCCTTTTTCCACCCTTGCTGAACAAGGCTGGAATTGTTATATTTTGGCTGGACTAACCAGCCTATGCATAGTCCAATCAAAATCGTGTAACAAAAAATTGACATCCATTTTGTAAACTGCTGTGTAGATTTCAGTGGATTGCAGGATTTGACTCGGCGTCAGCAGATATTTTCCAAGTCTTTTCATGTTTTTTGTCAAGGTGCTCATGTGATTTGATGCAATTAGGGAAGTAAGACCCATTTTAGCTCTATATAGATTTTGATTATCGATCAGATTGTCGTGACTGCGCACCGCTAGTTTGTTTGAAACAAATGCAAGTGATATGAGGTGGAATATGATTGGTCAATAGGAGGGACATAGAAGGGACATAACTCTTAATAGCCACTGGTTGTGCTTTGATCTAGCCCAGAAATTCCTGCCTAGTTCGGCAAGGGTGGAAACTGGACTTTTACTGTCCCTTGCCTCGGAAAGATGACTTGGGGCAAACATGAACAGATATAAATTAGAACATGTAGAAGTCACCTGAAAAAACATTTAAGGAGAATTATTTAAACAAACAGTACCCAAAAGACAGGACCCAAAGGAGAAAAAATATATTGACTAACCAAAAGAGGGATATTGACACAAGAAGCTGTATATAGGTCAATGACTTGGACCCAAGAAATATGAAAAGTCAATGGCAAAAGTCAACAAGTCAAATAAACAAAGATGGCGGATGAACCATAAGAACAAAATAATGAAATATGACTGGATGAATATATATGATCTGGCCAATGAATGTCGTGATAAGAAAAGCACCTGACTAAGTGACTATTGCTCCTTATAGTGTTTCCCTGTGATACAGAAAGTAGGATGCAAAGACACAGTCTGCTCCGACTTTCAATTATGATTTTTGATGGCTGTGCATTGTTCTATTAATCCTTACTATTTACCTTTTAATCATGTAGGTTTGAAAAGCATGATGCCTTGCCTAGCATTTTTATCGACTACTTAAACAAACCAATTGAAATCTTATCGGTATATCAGGGTTTGCCCTAGACATTAAAAATTGGGAGTCATTATGACCCCAAACTTTTCAGATTAGGATTCATTCATCAATTTTTGGTAGTCATATTAACTAATCTCAGAATCTCACTATCAGGATGAAAAATTAAGTAAACATAAACCAAGGTAAGATTTTAACTTTTTATATTCTTCATTATTTTAACTGTAACATAAATATCTTTGATTCACAAAGTCAAGTATATTGGGCCTAATACTCGATAAATCTTTTTTTACACTATGAATCATAAATAACTTCTATTCTAATCTTTTTGGAAACTGTGAAAAGTGCAACGTAGATCGTGATAGGTACTAGGCAGAGCATGTATACTGTTGTGTTGGTCGTCTACCACCTGCGACTCTACCTTCGTTAACTCTTTCAACACCAGTCAACCAGAAGTGTTTACTGCTGGGACAACGAGTTCCCAGAGACTCTTGTGTGATAGATGAAGCCAACATTTATCAAAGAAAATACCTGCTTGTAAAATATATTTGCCACTAGAGCGCTCTACATGTTATACACCATTTGAAAGGTCTGATCCTATGGTTATAAATATGAAAGTTATGTTTTTCACATTATATAAAATAATGCATTTACAACTTAATTAAGTTCGTTGTAAATAAAAAATGTAAGCTAACACGTTGTTAACATCCAGATTAAGGACCAAGTAAGCGAAAACTTGACGATTTTCGGCAAATATAAGATTTCATAAAATCCACTTACCTATTTCTGTTTTATTTTCATTGTTTACGTAACTGGAAAATCATTTTAAAAATAATTATACCCATTTCCCGATAACAGCGGCTGTCCGCTCAATAACATGAAGAAATCCCCCGTTTTCGAGGCTTCGTATGAAAAACACGTTCGTCGAAGAATGGCAAATGACACATCGCTGGAAAGCTTATTCCTTTATCTACACGCTCGTAACATCGGCTGTTTTTTCCCCGTAGTTATAACAAGCGAATTCATTGGATTAAAATTGGTTTCCAATGACGCTTTCTTGCCGAAATCTGCTACAAGTTTCGTGATTGGTAAATTTTGAGCACGTGACCTTAAGGCAGCCAATCAAATTACAGCTGTGATACCAAGCTCCTGTTTGATAAATTTCAGAAGTTGGCGAAAGGTTTTTGTTAAATCGTGTTATTCTGAACGTTTTAAGCAGGAAATCACGATATATATTAAAAATATGGAACTTCGTGAATGTATCGTGCTAGGTTACGAGCTGTGACAAATATTTTTCATGCATATATTTTTGCATTAAACATCGTGTCCGAGCCGAGAATTCAAGGCGACGAAAACCGAGATGTCTTATATTACACGCGATCGCACGAAAAGATGGAAATAATAACTAAGGTGAAAGCTTGATTACTTTTAGATATATTTTTGTTGATTCTATTTTTTACTTTGTATAATATATTTAAAGATTTGTTTAAAACGTCTTTATTTTGCTCTTTGACATGTTCGATGTGGACCCTTGTCGAAATGTGTGTCCGAGAATTTTATTTTCAATAACATCGCGGGGAAATAGTGAATAATTTTTTAATTTATCGATAAAAAATTATAAATTGAAATGGAATACGTATTTCAGACATTGTGAAATGTGATAGATTTAATAAATGAATGATATTACAGGTAGGTCCATAAAAATATATACTATATTGACGTAACTACGGCTGGGCCGGTTAACCCGCTTACGGTGTCTGGGGACTCATGCTTCTTGGCCGAAAACCGGCCTACGGTGTTGAAAGAGTTAAACCGCTGATCATCTATAATGCTCATCAATTATTTGGACCCCGAAGGTAGTGTTGTAACGAGGGATCACTGTATTTTCTTTCTGACAAACGGAAAGGTCTCAGTTTACTAATTGTAATGGCTGTTTCATTGCGTCAACACTGACGCAATAGAAAATATTTTTAGCGTATTTTCAATTATTTATGCGTCAAATACGCAGGTTTTCTGCGTCAGGGCAAACCCTGGTATATGACCAGTGACCATCTGGTACTCTGTACTCAATGGCTAAAAACAGTATCTGGTAGCGGTTGATAACCTGACCCAAGCTACCAGGCATGATGACACACAATCAGTCCGATCACATCTTGTAACCACCTTATCTTCATCATGTTCATGGTGCATCTCTCTAAAGTACAGGGCACCGGGGTCACTATGCCTATCTGGATTTCAGGCTTACAGGTGGTACAGCATTGAGACAAATTATTGTTATTGTTATCTATGCCCTTTCAATAACACTAGCTGATCTCTCTTTGTTTGACTGTCTCCATGGTCTAGTCATAGAGAGTCCGCCAGGAGAGAGGAAGGCTCAGGGTTCGATCCCTGGCCACGTCATCCAAAAGACATTTTGTTCTCCATGAAGATCTCTCATGAACTGTTGCTATCGTCTGGTTACTACAAACAAAGCAGCACTAGCAACTGTCACTTAGTCTAGTCTGACAGACCCAACTAAAATACTGAATGGTTAAGTTACCAACAGGACCCGTGGAAAATTGGAAATTACTGTAATTTGAAATGTTTTTCCAATTCGTACATAATAAGGGACCAAAATGACTTGGTTTCTTCCACTGGATGGGTACTGGAACTACGCACCCCCTTCTACACAGCTGTGTTTTTTTTTTAAAAAGTGTGCACTATACTCAAGAAAATATGGTATCTCTTGTACAGAATTCCCAAGAGGTCATGACTGAGTCATTATGAAAAGGTGAGGTGAAATGGGGTTTAACGTCGCGTCCAAGATTATTGCACTTATATAGCGACGTGCATGCACGTGTATGTATGTGTGTGGCTGCTTGTACTAGTCCGGACTGATGCTGATTTATAGTGCTAGCTCACTGATATACCATGCCGCAGTTTAACATGAATACCCCACTCAGACACAGTATACTGACTCCGAGCCGACCAGTCCTTGTTTTAGCCCCTTAATGCCGAGCCAGACAGGGTAACAACAAATACCATCTTTTATGGTCTTTTGGTATGACGCGGTCGGGGATCGAACCCCGGACCTTCCGTCATTATGAAAAGAGATTAACAAGAAATGTTGTGACACTTACGACACCAGTGGGAGTATGCTAAATGGACGTTGACCTTGCGGTACAGAAGCTTGTTGAACGGCCAAATGACACATGAACACAGCATGAGGAAGGTGACAATAAGACCGCTAACCACGAAGATGTAGCCAATGATCAGATGAAGGATGAACCATGTTTTCATCTGGCTCCACAGACCCATCTTGACCTCTGGAAAAGGGAGATAACTCAATGAATATCAACTTCAGAACTTACCTGACATGTTTCTTGTTGTTGTACAGGAACCAATCAGTTTGCCCTGTTTATTTTGTTGTCCCTGTTTATTTTGTTGTCCGTATTTACTGCATACATTAACACTGCCTCAACAAGAAGTTAATTACTGGGGTAACACTGTCTGCTGTCATTGACTAAGATCATTTTATAGCATATTCTGCCAATGTTAAGTCAAATAATTACAAATGAACTTAGGTCTCATGCTATTTCAGAGACACACTACAATTAATCAGCATTCTTAATCTAACATCATTGTAAGTTAGTGAGATGGGATTAATGTTGCTTTGAACAGTATTCCAGTTACCGTATTCGTCGTAATAAGCGCCCCGCTCTAATAAATGCCCATGGCGATATTTGCTAATATATTGGCTAGTGAACAATCCCAATTAGCACCCTTTCCAATTGATCAATGTACACAAGACCTATTTATTCGTGTATAATACGCACTCGTGTGTTATATGCACCCTTAATTACGGGCAATTAAATTCTCAAAAATATATCTATCCTTAATAATACACACAGATTCTTCTTTTATATCATTTCAGGCTGTCAGCATAAACCAGAAAATTTACAATCTTTCAATTCTGTTTTTTCTCTCACCAAAATTTTATTCTAATAAGAGCCCCCTATTTCTAATTTTGAGAGCGCCCTGGGTGCTTATTAAGCCGAATAAGGTACATCACGTTTTGTCAGCTTGATGTGGGAGGAAAGCCCAAAGTGATGCAAATGGGGATGGGTATGGTGCTGACAAACCAAGAAACATTATCAGGGAGGAGCGGGATTTGAACCAACAATCACAGGTTTCTGTCGTGCCCAAGGGATGCAACTCTGCACAGCAAATTGCAGCACCTTAGACAACTGGACAACCATGGCACCTTTACATTATAGATGACAATGGCTATTGCAGACAATGCATCAATCAGTTTTCCAGTTGTAATGTCTTCGGAAGAGAGTACCAGGGTAGAAATGTGGCTTGTTTCACATGTACCACAGGGCACTGATGAAGATGTCCAGGTGTGCCGTACAAATTTAAGTGTGCCATCCAAAAGAAAATGTTTAAAAGAAACAAAATTCATATTCCATGAGTTTCCACTTCTCACTTGTTTTACAGAATATATTAATAATTATCATGACCATGATGACTGGAACAGTTTTTTTTAATTGTGATTTCATGCTTAACCATTTAGCACTTTAATACAACTGTTTTCAAACCCTGCAGTAAAAGTGTGATTTGATTATAGATAGAAATTTTGCAATGTACCAGTAAAATTTAGTCAGCTTTCAACTCTAGTAACTATTTTCGCAATCATGAAAATGAAAATGTCCAAATAAAAAATTCCAACAATAAACATGATAAAAATCAGTCTCCTGTTCAGTAACCATGGTAACAAAGTATTGTTACATGAAAAATTAAGCAGAAATTAAACACTAATGACCCAAATTGCTTTTCCAATATGGTTGCCACAACAACCAAAATAAACTCTAGTTTTGAGACTGGTTGAACAAACATGATTGAGATTGATACAGACTTCCAGCTTCTGTTGATTTATTTCTCATTAAAAGTCTATGTTCCAAAATACATAAAGATAATAGACAATCTTTTACCATAACAAAAGCCCAAATAGACCTTTAGTCGAGATGACCTAAATTTGGACAAGATGTTTATTTATAGACAGCAACGAAATCAATGGTACAAGGTGTTGCTTGTAGCTGCAAAACATAAGATAAAATGAACAAGAACAAAGTTCAACCAAAATCATTCACAATGTTAGTCATGTTAGATTATGTGATCATTATCGATATCAATTTTGTCAAATTTTCAAAATAATTATCCGACTAATGAACAAACAGTTCTAACAACATGACAAAATATTATTTCAATGCATCACATTCAGATACTGATCATTTTCGTATGATGTAGGAATACATGTATGACAAAGATGTTTTGGTGATTTTGCTGGAGGTAAATGGCATTAGGCCATTTTCATGATATTATCTACACTGATTTTCAATCTCCAATTTCATCATCATTACCGAATTTGGAAAAAATCTTCAGGACAGTTTTACTGACATTCAGCTAACATAGTCAAAGTCCAAGAAAATGAACTGATCTGAAACCCTATAACCATGAAAACATAACATTGATTCCTGCTTGGTCAAAGTCCAAGAAAATGAACTGATCTGAAACCCTATAACCATGAAAACATAACATTGATTCCTGCTTGGTCAAAGTCCAAGAAAATGAACTGATCTGAAACCCTATAACCATGAAAACATAACATTGATTCCTGCTTGGTCAAAGTCCAAGAAAATGAACTGATCTGAAACCCTATAACCATGAAAACATAACATTGATTCCTGCTTGGTCAAAGTCCAAGAAAATGAACTGATCTGAAACCCTATAACCATGAAAACATAACATTGCTTCCTGCTTGGTCAAAGTCCAAGAAAATGAACTGATCTGAAACCCTATAACCATGAAAACATAACATTGCTTCCTGCTTGGTCAAAGTCCAAGAAAATGAACTGATCTGAAACCCTATAACCATGAAAACATAACATTGATTCCTGCTTGGTCAAAGTCCAAGAAAATGAACTGATCTGAAACCCTATAACCATGAAAACATAACATTGATTCCTGCTTGGTCAAAGTCCAAGAAAATGAACTGATCTGAAACCCTATAACCATGAAAACATAACATTGATTCCTGCTTGGTCAAAGTCCAAGAAAATGAACTGATCTGAAACCCTATAACCATGAAAACATAACATTGATTCCTGCTTGGTCAAAGTCCAAGAAAATGAACTGATCTGAAACCCTATAACCATGAAAACATAACATTGATTCCTGCTTGGTCAAAGTCCAAGAAAATGAACTGATCTGAAACCCTATAACCATGAAAACATAACATTGATTCCTGCTTGGTCAAAGTCCAAGAAAATGAACTGATCTGAAACCCTATAACCATGAAAACATAACATTGATTCCTGCTTGGTCAAAGTCCAAGAAAATGAACTGATCTGAAACCCTATAACCATGAAAACATAACATTGATTCCTGCTTGGTCAAAGTCCAAGAAAATGAACTGATCTGAAACCCTATAACCATGAAAACATAACATTGATTCCTGCTTGGTCAAAGTCCAAGAAAATGAACTGATCTGAAACCCTATAACCATGAAAACATAACATTGCTTCCTGCTTGGTCAAAGTCCAAGAAAATGAACTGATCTGAAACCCTATAACCATGAAAACATAACATTGCTTCCTGCTTGGTCAAAGTCCAAGAAAATGAACTGATCTGAAACCCTATAACCATGAAAACATAACATTGATTCCTGCTTATAACTATGGTTACTTGTCATTCTGCTCCACATGGTACAATTGTATCATATTTTGCTCAATAATATAAAATGATAGTATACAACCAATCTCAACAATGCTCAAGGGACAATCATTTAACCTTTGTCCAATACAAAAACACTAATAACTTCTCAACATCAGAAATATTGAAAACAAATATCATACCGGTAAAACACTCATATTACCTGCATCCTTTCCATGCTTTTGGGGTTTAAATTTCTCATTCAACATACTATCACACTCCATGCTGCTTACGCTCCGCTTGTCAATAGTGAAATGTACAACACGTGTGACGTCTATAGTGCCTAACAGCCACCAATAGAATGTCAGGTCCACTGCAGTAACATACAGCAGGCACTTAATTAACCACACTGGTGTATTTCAGGACACTCCAGCATTCACAAGCAGTATATTACCAACAGTATGTCACCATACACTGATTGACATGTGAATTCATACATCAGGGGTCACTGAACAAAGATTAGGGCACAAGTACCAACAGCTGATAGACTGTCCAGATGCCCCTGACCTGGAATATATATACGTTCCATAACCTATCAGCAGCAATCCTTACAGAGAACCCTGACCTAGGTTATACAGTCTCTGCTGTAATACCCTAACACCAAATGATTATCCGAGACGGGGATAAGGATTGCATAATCTACTCTTATCAAACATTCTTATAACTTTGTCTGCTTTCAATACAGTTAACATTCTGCCTGTATTATTATAAAAGTTTTGGATGAGTATCTGACCTAGTTTCAGCCCTATGTGTAAACATAGACTCTGAACTCAAGTGTGAACAAACTGCTGAATAGTCATCAGTTACAACAGGAGATTAGGCTGCTGTGTTTATGCTGCATAATGGCAGCCCTAGCATGCTTGTTTCACTTCCTTGATAACAATTAACAGTGTTTGCTCATTAATAAATACTTTATTCATATTATGTGCATTAATGTAGGTGGTAATGAATATACATTTTACATGAGACACAGTTTGTCTTACTAGCATGGGTTCAAGAATGTGTAGCACCTCTCTACGCGGGAATCAATTGGCGTGACATAATATATCTGTTTAGCATTGTACAGCACAGGCTATATTGTGCAACTCAAAACTGTTACTGCAACTGTTAGTTATTGTTGGTTATTGCAAACCTCGGGTATTGTTAAGATCAACACTGACCAGTGGCCACTGGTCATATTGACAAAAAATAACATTTACCGATCTACGGTTTCACAAATAATAACATGACGTGTAACATTTCTAAATTGATTTGTCGACTTCTGCCGATGATAATGGCTCATTCATTCGTGTACGTTACAATTAACTTGCCCTGCGGTGTTTATGTTTTCGTAGGACGTATTTCGTGTATGTTCTGTGTCTCGTTGATGCACATTACCTTCTTGACTTCACGTATTAACCCTAACAACGCTGTTATCTTTGGGAAACAAGGGCGCACATGTTAACCTTTGACCTTGCTAGTTCGAACACGTTTCAGTTGTCGTAAAACTAAATCAAACAAATGATTGTTAACTGCATACATTGGTACAGTAAAATTGGAGTATTTCAAATGACCTTATATTATTAAAGGATTAAAGTTGATTGACGGTTGCGACACCTATACCCGGAAGTTGCATTTTGTTACGGTAAACGTGGCTGACGCAACTGGTGTCCGATCACCGGTGTAAACATTGCTGGCATATTGCGTGACTTAAATATCATACTTATGCTTATCTGACTTGTGATAAGTAATCCGAAGACTATTTAACGAAGTGGGTGTGAAATTTACTTGAAATATTGTGGTACTTTCAGCATTGTTCGTGGAATAGGTAAGTTATGAATGATATATTGATCAACTCTTCTCCGAGCTGGATGCAGGCTAAAACGGCACCTCAGCAAAACGTCACTGATTTCTCTGGCGAAAACGGCACCGCATTAGGTGAAAACGGCTACTATGAGTCGGGCGAAAACGGCACCTCTATTTTTAATAACGATAACAACGATTTTGTAGTAATATATAGGGTCCACTTGGTCCACTGGTCACAGTTATCACATGATACAGCATGTTGATTTCTTCTGACATTCTTCTCGCATGCTACACATCGAAAGGCCATATAAATAATTGTGATCTGACAGCATCATGTTTGGCCTCTTAAATACAGTTTCAGCTTAAATTGAGTAAAAGTACTTAAAACTTCAACGCGTATAGTGTTTTCACAATAAGTTAACTACGCCTCCCAATCGGAGTCGGTGAGTACATTGGAGTAGGGGGCTAATTTCTTATTTGTTTTATTTCACAATTAGTTGTGTTTGTAAGAGACGATGTGAGTTTAATTTCTATTATTTTTCTTCAAAGCATGTTATGTTTTCTCAATAAGTTGAGTTGCGTATAAGCTAAGTTGGATTATAGTTGGAGTAGAGGCTAATTTCTAATGTAAACTTGTTTTAACATCTCACAATTATTGGCGCTTGCAAGTTACAATGTAAGTTTAATATTATTTATTTGACCAAGGTAAAACAAAAAAATAAGGTGCCGTTTTCGCTCAAGTTCGAGGTGACGTTTTCGCCCGGTGACATTTTGCTGAGGTGCCGTTTTCACTATAACCCTCCGAGCTGGACAATCTGGTGAAAGTATTCTTATTATCTGACAGACAGGATGAACATAATGTCATCGTATCATCGATCACTTGTAGAATACAATCTGGGGTAACAATTTAGTTAACTTGAGAAAATTGCTACTCTGCATGTACATAAAGGTATACAATTTAGTCGGGTGGTAGGGTGTTGGCAAATTAGATTAAGCCAATTAGCCTAGCTTAGCTTTCAGCAAGTAACATGAGTTTGATCCTCCATGTGACGCTAATTAAAATCCGAAAAGTACCCCTTTATGATCATTAGGGTTAAGCAACCCCTTTTCGCGATCATTTGGATTAAGGCGACTATGCTTGTCGTGAGATGCGACTAACTGGATCGGGTTGTCAGGCTCGCTGACTTTGTGGATGCATGTCATCGATCCCAATTGTGTGGATCGAAGCTCATGATGTCAATCACTGGATTGTCTGCTCCAGACTGGAATATTTACAGACCGCCGTCATAAAGCTGGAATATTGCTGAGTTCGGTGTTAAACAACAAGCAAACATTTTGATTAGTTGTGAGGAACAGTATGGGTTAGCTATCCCTTTTAATGAATTAATCCACATGCGCTGAAAGGTAAACATTGGATGTTGATCAGGTGGTAAAGCCTTTGCAGAGTCATAAGTTGTGTATATTTTATCTTGATTGCTTTTGATAAATTAAATAAGTGATAAGTGAAATGGAAATGCCATGTCATGTATGACATGGTATGATGGGATAGTTTCAGATTTCAAACGATTCCGTCAAAATCTGTTATTGTTGTGTTTCACTTTCAGTACAATTTTCTGTATGATCAATGAAGGAATATTGTAAGGTTTCAACAAAGTCCAAGGCTTGCTGTCCAGTTTTCCCCTTCAGTAATTAATCAGTGATTAATATCCTTTATACAAACCAAATAATCCTGATTATGAAAGTTGAAGTAATATTTCTGCCAATGCTGGTTGTGGGACAAGGTAATTCTGTGAGGAGCTTTTAGCATGTTTAGGAAATGCATGTTTTGTTTGTTGTTTAACACCACATTCAGCAATATTCAATCTATATGATGGCTGTCTGTACATTTCTTAGTCTGCACCAGACAATCAAGTGATTGACTATTCATGAGCATCGATCTGTGCAATTGGGATACAGTGACATGTATCAACCGAGTCTGACCACCTATTCCTCTTACAACAAGCATAGTCACCTTTTACGGCAAGCATGGGTTGCTGAAGACCTATACTACCCCGGGTCTTCACCGGTAGGAAAAATATGTGCACATAATACAATGTGAAATGTAAAGTCACTAACGACAGCAATTAGAAGTATTTAGGGTCAGTGACTGTGAGGATGGGCATAGTAAGCTTTTAAACAAACATAATTTGTTTTCATAACAATTAAGGAACATTATCATAGATAATGTGAACAATACTTTAATAAACAAAGTGGAATATTCTTGACGCTGTTTTAGTCAACTAGATCATATAGAGTAGTAAGTCATGAATAAATACAGTTTGATGTTAACTTCTCTTGCCTTTTGGCATCATTTTTAATTTCTCTTGATTTTAATGTAACTACCGTATTTGACGTAATAAGCAATAAGAGCCCCGCTCTTATAATCGCCCATGGCGTTATTTGATCAATGTACACAAGAGTTATTTATTCCTGTATAATACGCACTTTTGTGTTATATGCATACTTAATAATATTTATGGACAATTAAATTCTGGAAAAATATATCTGTTGTACATAAACATTTCAGGCTGTCAGCATAAACCACAAAATATACGATCTTTCAACATGTTCAACTCTGTTTTATTTTCACCAAAATAATATTCTAATAAGAGCCCCCTATTTTTAATTTTGAGAGCGCCCTAGGTGCTTATTACATCGAATATGGTATACATGTATGTAAGGAGATAGTTATTACTATCTGAGTTGAGCTTATGATCACTGGATTGTCCGGTCCAGACTCAATTATTTACAGACCACTGTCATATAGTTTGAATATTGCTGAGTGTGTAGTTAAACAACCAACACACACACACACTAGTACTAAATATTAAACATGGTGGACAGAATAAAAAAATTCAAGACTTGTGTTCAGTTTACAAGCTAACTAAGTCACAGACTTTATATATATATAAATACACACTCTCAAACTTTCAGCCTCCCAGCTTTCATCAACCAAACACATTAGAATTCCTCTATGGGAATGAGGTGAGGTGAAATTGGGTTTAACGTCATGATCTATCTCCTTTTAACATCCATGATGTCTGTCAAATGTTATAATAACATTGATGTGCTTTTCTGTCCACTGCCTTAACTTGTCCATGTTGTCATTGGGAATTCAATTTTAATATGCTTTCCTCTTAATGATGTGGGCTAAAAGACTACAAACCCAAACAATATTTGATGAAAGGGGGTGTTTTTGAAAAAGTCATACACAATGAGCGGATGAGTTGGGGATTTGATGTCAGAGATGGAGCACAAGAACACAAACTTAGTTCAAATGTCATGGTTTTGGTTTGGTTTGTTGTTTTACGCCATTACAAGTCTCTTGACGAAACAGGTGTTGGTTGTTTAATGCCGCACACAGCAGTATTCCAGCTATATGATGGCGGTCTGTAAATAATCCAGTCTGGACCAGACAATCCAGTGATTTACATCATGAACATCGATCCATGCAATTGGGATACGATGACATGCATCAACCAAGTCAGCGAGCCTGACCACCCGATCCCGTTAGTCGCCTTTTACGGCAAGCATGGGTTGCTGAAGACCTATTCTACCCTGGATCATCACGGGTCTCAAATGTCATGGAAACTTGGGCAGGATAGGATAGTAGACAAGGATGACCACTTCAGTTGTATTCCTGGTATAGTAAGCAGCTGGTAAGTATTTTGGTATTTTCCCAGATCAATATTTTCTATGGTTAGCATACTGGCACATGAATTGTATTGCAATATGTTACAAATCAGACAGCTGTATTGCGTTACATATTGCAATATGTATTGAGTCCCAAATTATATATATATATATTTGTATTGTTCAAATGGTACTCACAAATAGAAATTGCAGCGTTAGAAATTGGCACTAGTCCTGTAGTCCTTACCAAACTGCCCAATGGTAAATGTATCCTTAGGACTAGTAGAGATTGGCCAGTTTTAAGGGTTTTGCTATATGTTATCATTATAAGGACTAGTGGACAAAAACTGTTAGTTTCTAACCCTGAATTGGTACTCCCTGTAGTGCTTTTGTCCTTGCCAAATGGCACAATAGTTCAGGTATCACAAAGACTACCGGTAGTAGAAATCTGCAATTTTTTAGGGTTTTGTTATATTTTATCGTAAGGACTAGTGGACTGGTACTTCTTCATTCAATAATCCTGACCTTCAGATTGCGAGATGTGTAGTATGGATGAATGAGACTACCTGTTATGTCATCAATATAGAATTTCAATGTAAACAGCGTGAAGCATGTGTTGTTCACATGGTTTAGATTGGAACCCAGTCCATCCAAATGCCTCACATATATTAAATTCTTCTGTGACTGTATTGGAAAATATCAGAACGCAAGGGTTATAATTGTGAAGCGTGTATTGCTGACGGCCGTATTGCAGTATACCAGTAAACAAGTTATGTTGCACAGCCCAAGTGCCTTTCTAGTGTAACCGGGGGCACGGGTCGCCCAGTCGTCTAAGGCGCTGCGATTCACTGTGCGGAGTTGCTTCCCTTGGACACGCCAGAAACCTATAATTGTGGGTTTGAATCCCAATTCGCCCCAATTATGTTTTAGGTTTGTCAGCACGATACCTGTGCTTGTGGGTTTCACCGAAGTGGTAAACGTCTGAGACCTGCATCACTTCGAGCTTTCCTCCCAATTTAAGCTGACATGCCATGATATAACTGGAATACTGTTAAAAGCAGCGTTAAACCCAACTCACTCACTCACTCACTCCTAGTGTAACCGGCATGAGCAATCACATTGACATCTATAAATTGATATAACTTTGGGCTCATGTGCATCCAGTGATTCAGTAAACAATGCCACACATTATCACCAGGCTCCTTGTACATCTTACCAGTATCAGCTATATCCATCAGGATGCAATCTCATTAAAATCAGATCTTAGTTTTCGCTACCCCTAAACAAAGATCTGAGGACATCCCATTACGGGTCTCATCAGAACGACCTCTCTCGAACTTTGACCGATCA